GTAAAAAGATCGAACCCACAGGGACAGAGGCAACACACAGAGTAAAAGTGTCACGTTTAACAGACTTTTGTAGAGTTTGAATTCTAGGCGACTGTCACTCCCAGAAATACTGCAGTGCTCGACTCGGAGGCTCGACTCGGAGGAGGATCTCGACTCGGAGGATGCACGGTACAGCGTGGTCACTCAACACACACACACACACACCTGAAACTGGCAAAAGCACAACTCGGAGGTCGGTCAGGACCTCCGCTTCGGATTTCAGGAGGAAAGTGTCTCAAAAGTTCACTCAGAGGTTCTGCAGGTAGTGACTCCCACTCCGGCTTTTACTGCCCTTCCGCCAGGAACTAGCGTAGGGTACCCGGACTGGACTTCCCACTTCGGAACGAAGCCTCTTCATACGCCGTGGACGTCACCCTCGACTATCACACCAAACGCAGGGAGTGCAGACCCGACTGAGAACTTAACTGAGACACGATCCAGTAACACACACACAACCTGAATTGCAAACCAAGGTTTACACGAAGTAATAAAACTTCACTTTGGCATTCAGGGGAAACTTCCCGTAGGAGTACAATCAGGATTTGTCACTCAAAGGAGTAAGGGGGAACTGTTCAAGTATCTAACTCGCAACCGGCTCTCAGCATCAGAAATCACCCGCAGGTGCAGATCCGCACTACTCAAGTCTCTAACCGGGTACTAGCTCTGAACATTCAGCCGAAGGCCTTCAACTACAACATACGGTAACTTCGCTATGCTGCAGCTTCTCTACGTGGTGCCAGGACCAAAAATGCACAAACACGTCAAGAAAGTGAGTTCCTGATCTGCACTTCCGAAACTGGAAGAGACCCAAGGCAAAATGCCTTGAACTACTTTATACATTCTAAGGTCCTAACTAACACTACGCTATGCTATCTACTACTCGCAACATCTGCGCGAAACCAAACTATACTACTGCACTCGGCGGATCCGGTGCTGCGCCTCCTGCGCGCCGGACTGCTCCGCTCGCTGTCTCTACCTTGCCAGTCTTCCGACCGGCTGCGCAACCCCTGGCGTCGGAGGGCTGTAGTGACTTCCGACTCTAAGTGCGCCATAGTGTCGCGCGCACCCGACAAGAAGGTTTCTAATTTCCTCGCTACTCGCCGCCGACTCCGACTGTCACCCTCCGTCAATGCCGCCGCCCGAAGCTCGAACTCCCTGAGTGTGATCCTCTCTTGAGCTGCCACCTCCCAATGGGCGTATCCTTTTAGGCAGTGAGTCATCCGCGTCGCCAACTCTTCTCGCGCCCTGCAGCTGCTTTCTACCTCTGCTAGCTGCATTTCTGCTTCCGCACGCTGCGCCCGCAAATCCGAGCACTCGGATTGCAAATTGCGCAACAACTCCTCATCCTCCTTGCGGGCTCTTTGACTTTCTTCCAAGGCGCGCGTCTGGCGCGCAAGCTCTGCTGCTAGGATGCGGTTTTGTCTCCGCTCTTCCTGCAATTCTGACTCGATCTTTGCCCGCATTAGCTCGGCCTCCGCCTGGCTTTTCGTCGCCGCATCCTCCCTCTGCTGCTGCAAGGCTTGGTATAGCTTCTGTGTGACCGCCAGGTGTTGTCGGAGGGCGGTGTTCCTTTCCACATATACTTGGCACCTAGAGGCCCAAGTGGCCACCTTGCTCCTCGTCCTTCGCTTGATAGTCTCCACATAAGACTGCGGTTTTCCAGTACCCGAGTACTTGGATGTCTTGCGATCCAGATATCGCAGGAGAGGGACTATCTGCTCGCACAACACCCCTGTTGGCGTTTTCTGCACAGAGTCCGCTTCCTGCTCTTCCGAGCTCGTCTCATCCTCAGTCTCGAGGATTTCAGTCGCCACCGAATCCCTTGGCGACTCCCTGGAACTGTGGCGCGCAGCAGCTTTCGCTGCGACTGCCACACCACTGCCTGCTAAAATATCCAGGGCAGTGGGGGATCCCACTGCTTGAGCCCCTGTTCCGGCTTGATCTTCGGTTTTCGAAGGGGTCGACGCCGCAGTGACTCTTGTCACCTTTGCACCGCCCGCTTCTGCTGCCTGCCCTTCCGGCGCAATCTGCGCGGAAGGTGTCTTCGCTGAAGGTGCGTCCGCCGAAGGTGTCCGCACACTGGTCGCCGGCCCTGTCCGTCTCGCAGTCGGCGAATCCGGCCGACTCTCTGTTGACCGACTCGCAGTCGGCCGACTAGCAGTTGTCCGACTGGGAGTCGGATACACCCTGCGCGTCTTCACTCCACTTGGCCTGCTTGCTGGTGGCGTTTTCCCAGAAGTGCCTTCCGCCGAAGACGACCCTCTGAGGGCTGTTGGCTCGTCAGCCAAACTCTCTTCTGCTTCTGGCGTGCTGTCCGGTTCAACGCGCCGCTCAGTTGGCCTTCCTTCCGCTTGTCGTCCTTCAGTCGACCGACTCGTAGTCGGCCGACTGTCAGTCCGTCCATCTCCTTCCGAATGCATTGGTGCCTTCTGCGCAGAGGTATTTGTCGACTTCCCTAGAGTCTGCGCAATTATCTCCTCCTGCGTGGGATTCCGCCGGACCGGAGTACGCCCGGTCTTCTCCGTACTAGTTGGCATTTTGCGTGCCCTCTGTTTTGGTCGACTGTGAGGCTCGTGGGTGGGCCGACTACGAGTTGGCGCAGCTACCACTTCCGGCTGCCTGTCCTCAGGTCTCTCGTCCCACTTCCGCTTTCGCGGAATGCGCTCACTTCGACGTTCTTCTGCTGCTCTTGCTGGGGCCAGAGCCGGAGGCGGACTGGCAGGTTCCTCGTCCGGATCCGTGTCTACTTCGGCCTCCCGTGAGTATCTACCTGGATAGCTCCGTGTCAGCAACGGAAACCGTGTCCGCTCTGAATTTGTCAAACAACCCATCGCCCGATAAAACACAATCAGGTAAGGCGAAAGATGATTGAGGGTTCCTCCTTTCTCTTCTTGCGCATGTTGGCGCGTCACCTTCCACAGGAGTCGTGCCCAATGCACTGGAGCTCCTGACAACACTAGCTCCACAAATTCTACCTGCCAACCATGCATGTAAGCGGTCTTGGTCGGCTGCAATATCTGCAGCAATGCAGTCGCGACATTTCTCCGCAATCGATCTTTGTAATCCCGTGTCCGGAAACCGTTCTTGGGATGCTTGGCAACTTTGAAGAGCTCATTGTAGGAGATTTCTTCCTCGTGGGACACCTTCACGCTATCGGCCTCGAAGAGGAGATCCCCTTCCTCGCCGGCACACCTGCCCAACACCTGCGCCCAGTTACAAATGTCCCATCTTTCTGGATGTGGACGGAATCCGCGTGAGGGCTTGTGTCTCTCCTGCAGATACTCGCGCACCATCTCCGGACATGTCTAGTTCCACCCCCACAGGAGGAAATCGAGCTTCAGCCCCAGCAGCACATCTTGAAATGCGCGTAGACCGATCTGCGGCACCCTGAGGGGAGACACTCGCAGCTGGGGAACCTTCGACATTGCGTTACCTGCACACACAAACGTTCATCCTTTTGCTCGCTCTCTCACAATCGCCACTGCGCGTCGGCCGCTCAAGCACTGATTGCTCACTCTCTCTTCGCTCACGCTCAAGTTCGCTACTCGCAATTCTCTCCAAGGTCTGTCAAGATCCTTGCGCAACTCGTCTCCGCACTCTCTCCTCTCACTGCAGGTCTCTCCGCCCTTGCGCGTAATCTTGGAAGCTGGAACTCGCAGAATCAAGAATGAGAGAATGAGACTGGAGAGCAGTCTTTTCTTCTCCAATTCAAGAACGTCCAACGTTCTTACTGGTTACAACGTACGCAGCCGGCTATACGGCCTAACGGTTCGCCCTTTGCATGCGCGAATTCACGTCTCCGCACTGCGCGCATTCGCATGCGTGAATGTTGAATTCTCCCGCCGCCGCCGCCGTCTTCCGGACTCGAGTCCGCCGTAGGGTATACGTCGGCTATGTTGTCTTTCCCTAACCCGTCCATCACCGGAGGCGCGTCGCCGCTGGCGTGTTCCTTATCCGTCGGCGCCTTGCAGGAGGCGCACATCCAGTCGGCGCGAATTACGCCGGCGCGTATTCGTACCGCTTATTTTGTCCTTTATGCCTCGTCCATTGCTGACGGCGCATATCCGCCAGCACAAATCATGCCAGCGCATCCGGCCATCAGCGCCACGTCGGAGGCGTACATCCGACCGGCGCTTTCCTTCCATGAGCAGCCGCCAAAGGCGCTTCCGACTCTGAGTTGGTTTCCTCCCATGAGCGCGCGATTCCGCCGAAGGCGCATCGCCGAAGGCGTACGGGAGTCCTTTCCGGCTGTGAACCCTAGCGCGAACGGCGCATGTCCGGCTACGAGTTTTCCGACGCTCATAACTTCTTCGTCCCTGATCCATCTCCGACGCTCTTGGGCTCGTTAGAACGAGCGTCCCGAGCTCTTTCTAATGCGTTTTCAACTAACTGGATCTACCGTGTATTCCGATCGTTATAAAGGTTTTCCCTTCCCGCGCTAGCGGCGCATCGCCGAAGGCGCACTCATGGTCGGAAGCCTTCAGAGGTCCGGGCCGTTCTTCTGACGTCTTTAGCAAAACCTCCTCCTGAGGTGTCTGCGCCGGAAGCGTAGCTTCCTTAAACGCTGGAAGCGCGTGAGTAGAGACACCTCAGAAAAGGAGCTTTTGCCGAAGGCGCCGAAGACATTGGCGTTGGTACATCCGACTACGCGATTCTTCGTGACTTCGTGACGATCTCATCAATCCACTCTATTTAACGTACCCTTTTCTAACTACAAACACTGCTTCGGTACTAGTTTTCTAAAATTGTTTAAATTCTGCAAAAAAAACAAAAAGTGTGTTACCACAATGACCATACATAAACAATGAATAAGAACGATATATCGAAATTCAATAGATGAAATCACGCGAGAGCAGAGCAAGAGGTGAAATTCGGAAATAGAATTCTGAACCAACTTGTTAGTTTAAGTATGATTTTTTATTGAAAAAAGATATTCACTAAATATTTAGCGTAGAAATTAGAATTTTCTAATTTTTAAAATCTGTGCAAATCAAATACCTACATTTCGGTGAACTGATTTGTACTGGGACTCCTATAACTTATCTTCGGACTTCAACTACAGCCTCTTCTGTCGGAGAATCCCCCACCTCCTATCATAGATGTCTCTGCTGCTGTGTTATCCACTCCTGCTCTGCATTTACTCCGGGCGCTGGTATTATGACACACCAAGGGTCATGGATGGCATGCGGCAAACGTCCCCATAAATGAAGCTCATGGGCTCCGCGGAAAGGAGGTTCGGGTAAAAAAAACATCATGTCTCTTTCAGCCCAGTATTTCGCCACCTCAAGGTCTTCACCTTCTTGCTCGAAAACGAAGAACACATCACTGCCTCCCGAAGCATAAATTTTGAAAGCTCTGCCATCCTCCATAACCCATAGATCTCTAGTTCTCCTGATCAGAGATGCATCCATTCTCCGGACCATTGGATGGCCGAGGAAGTTGCCGTCATAGCCCCTACCATCAAACTCCACATCAGTCCAATCCATGGCGAGTAAGCACACACATCCTTCATACGCAAGAATCTGAAGGGCACCTGGCTTGTCCTCCATGACCTCCTCGGCCAACACGTTCCATGTTTCTTCTCTCAGATCAAATATCAATAGAGCCTTAATCATGACCCTGGGATCCCATACGAGCCAATACAAACATCCATTACATACTACACATCTCCCACTGTGCCACTCTACTTCCATCCAGTTTAACAATGAAGGAAACGGATGAATAATCCACGACCATTTACTGGTACTCGAATCGTAAATCAAAGATCTGCGTCTATCTGGGACTATTACTCCTCCCAAAACCAGCTTGAAGTGTTTTGTTGATTGATCCACAACTAAACCCACCATGATGCACTCAAGCATACCATCGAAGACTGTAGACACTCTATCGATTTCATGAGGTACAGTCAAAGTCAGGAATTTGTCCTCAACTGGGTTATACATTACATATTCAGTTGAGAACAGTTCATTGAAACACAGCAGGCCTCCATCAGCAGCGACCACGTGCTTGGGCCCAAGTGTAATATTTCTTGTGATCCATCCATCACGAAAGCAGAAGTACGCCGAATTGTCAATACATTCATCATAGTACAAAAGAACAGATTTATTCCAGATTTTGTTCCGTAACTCCGAACCATCTATGATTGCATTCCATTTCTTACAAACCACACGACATTCCGCAAGAGTGATAATTGGCAGATCCTGATCTCTGAGAACCTTAATCAGTAATTCAACAGGTAAGGAGTCCAATAGAAATTGAGGTCGATCCTCTTCTCTTCTGAGTTCCATTGCAATTGAACGAGCTCTAAAGGATGATAGATATAATTGTCATCTCTTAATCAAATCTATAACATCTCAGAAGGGATAGGAATCAGTCAATTGCGAGTAAATCTTGTAAAATAATATCACGCTCGTTGCCACAGATCGGCTCAGATGAGAAAGATCTAATGCTACGAGAACTTCACATGTGCGATGTGTGGACGAGAGAAGAGTGGTATCACTCTACAAGAGAAAAGTTCCTGTCATGTTCGGAGATCTGATGTCCTGGACCGAAACACGGACAACTGTAGTTAGGCGTGAATGTGAGTGAGTTACGCAACTGTCATCTCAGCATTTCATTTGAACTCGGTGAACGTTCAACTGTCACTTTCACAACTTGAAGTATAATCATAGTCGTTAGGAACGCCAAAGACTAACTCTCGAATTCTTTTCAAATGCCCACTCTACTGAACTATCTTCTGATTTTCAATAATAATTTGAATTGATATCTGAATGAAGTAATAGCTCATATTTGACTGTCGCTATTTTGGTTAAAAGAAATTTTACTTTATCAAACTAATGGAAATATTAGATGCGCATTAGTGTGAATGCGAAGCTTAAACAAAGTTTATCTAGGTTGCATTTTTCGGGAAAGAAAAAGGATATCTTGATGAACTGGGTTTTTTAATTGAAATAAAGTTTCATTGGGAAAAACTGGATATGAATCCGTGACTTCTGGCTTTACTAACCAGCGCTATAAACCACTAAGTTATTTCCCCAAAAATAACTTAGTGGTTTATAGCGCTGGTTAGTAAAGCCACTCATTTGTTTTTTATAATTTGGCTGTTAAGCATTATTTTCTATTTTCAGCCAATAGTACATTCTTTGTATATTTTTTAAAGTATTTTACTTCCACATGATTTGGAATAGTTGTATTAAGATATTTTGATAAAATCATTATGCGTAATTTTTTCTACTTTAAATCATTTGTGAAACGCAAAATGTAAAAGCTTTTTCTTTTTTTTAGCTTGTAATGCTTTCATGATATTTCCATTTTGCTTTGTGATATGTGTTATCTTGTTTCATCAATTATAAACTCAATCATAAATTTCACTTATTTAATATAAATAATATAGAGATTGCAAGTGAAATCATCCTCAATTTCTTTTTTGATCTTCATATATACAATTTTCATGTTAAAGTGTTGACATCACGTTCCTCATTAAATTTGTTGTGAAGATATATCCTTGTGAGTTTCTGCATAAATCAATGATTTACAATAAATCTCCACTACAAAATTTTTGTAAACTCAGGTAATTCTTCTAGTGTTTTGTTATCAATTCAATGATCACTAACTCTTGTTTTGTTGTGTTATTCTTTTGTTTCGCCTTCATCAGCTTTGGAAAAAAAAACAATTAGATATATATCTATTCTTCCACTCTTGTTGAAGTATGTCATACATTTTTTATAATTTACGCATCAATAGTCCATTTGATTAATCCATTATAATATTATCATTCTAATATTTATATATTTGCATATAACAAAACTATATATATTCAAGTCTTGCAATAATTTTTAAACTATTTATCATCTTCATTATTTTAAATTTTCCTAGTACAAATGTGAAACCTGAATTTGAACAAGCAAAAATTATCAAAAATTCACAATAAAACTTGATGAATCATAAAAAAAATTAATTAGTTTGAGTTGAATCATCACTTACGATTTCTTTTTTAATAATGCATAATTTTTCATTAATCATTTAGATTATTATTTTTGATCATTCTGTAATCCAAATAATTTACTTCAGATTTGCCAAATTTACACTTCAAAACTTTGATTTATAATATATTTCTCCCCAAATTTGAATATATTATTTTAAATAATATTCACAATTAATAAAAAATTTATTATGTATCAAAATATCATCTTGAATATCAATAATAATTTATCAAAATAAAAATAAAACTTATTTTTTATAATATGATAAATGTAGTTCATGTATTAGTAAAACCAAAAGTCATCACAAGATACTCAAAGTGACCATATATAGTAAGAGAAAATATCATATGAAAATTTTAATTTAAAAATTAAATTTGATAAAGTACTTCACTTTATGAAATTCATCAAACAAATCTACCATCCCAAAAATCAAGATTGATGTTTCATCATTTTGTGATTTATGTTAGGATAATCAAAGGATAGTATCATATTCATTTGATTTACTTAAAAATAACACTTAAAGTACGTAAGATAACTGGTTTTAGGAAATCGTTTGATATTAAAACGCTAAAAAATAAATAGCTCAAACTGGAGGAAATCATGAATAGAACAGAGAGGCAGGAAAAAACCTAAGCAGAAGTTATGATGGAAATTTTGCGATATAACATTCAAGTGTGTAATAACCCACTAAAGGCTAAAACTGCAATATAGTGGTAGAAAGGTCGAACCCACAGGGACAGAGGAACACACAGGGTACAAAGTGTCACGTTTTAACAGACTATTGAGGAGTTTGAATTCTCAGGCAACTGTCACTCCCAGAAATACTGCAAGTGTCCACTCGGAGCGCACTCGGAGGTCGCACAGTGCAGCGTAACACACACACACACACACACACCTGAAACTACAGAAACACAACCCAGAGATCCGTTAGGACCTCTACTTCAAGATTTCAGGGGGAAAGTCTCTCACGAGCACACTCGGCAAAGCTGCGGGCAGTGACTTCCAACTCCGGCTTTTACAACGCTTCCACTAGCTTGCTGCTAGTGTAGGAAACCCGGTTTGGACTACCTACTTCGGATCGAAGTCACTCATACGCGGTGAACAACACTCTCAACTCACAAAACGCGCAGAGAACACAGGTCCGCACTAAAGGACTCACTGTGAAACATTCCAGTAACACAACAACAGTCTATTGAAGAGTTTGAATTCTCAGGCACTTGTCATTCCCAGAAATACTACAGGGGTTACCCTCAAGGCACCTGCTGCAGCGTAACCTGAATTTACAACCAAGGCTTACACGAAGTAGCAAAACTTCACTTTGGCATTCAGGGGAAAAATCCCAAAGGAGTACAATCAGAAAGAAACACTCGAAGGTGTAGGGGCGAAACTGTTCAAGTATCTAACTAGTCACTGGCTCTGAGCATCGGCAGTCACCCGCAGGTGCAGATCCGAACTACTCAAGTCTCTAACCAATGTACTAGCTCTGAACATTCGGCCGAAGGCCTTCAGCTACAAAATGCGGAACGCTAAGTTGTAACTCCTCGTGCGTGGTGACAGAACTCAAGGACACAAACACGCAAAGGAAATGGGTTCCTGATCTGCACTTCTGATGGGAAAGAACCCCAGGCAAAACGCCTGGAACTATTTTATACCTTCTAAGTCCTACCTAGCACTACACTGCACTACGCTACACGCCTGCACGGAACCACGCTACACTACACTCCGCGGAACCTGTACTACGTCTCCTGCGCGGCCGACTGCCGCGCACTAACTCCCTGCCCTGCCACTCTTCCGCTCGACTACGCAGTCCCAAACGCTGCAACGCGGCGGACACCTCCACTTCGAGGGCGGACATGGTATCCTGTGCCTTCGACAGAAAGGCCTCGAGCTTCTTCGCTACCTTCCGCCGACTCCTACTGTCGCCTGACAACAACCCGGCTGCGCGCAATTCAAACTCCCGCAGTGTGAGTTTCTCCTGCGCCTTCACTTCCCAGTGGGCGTAGCCCTTGAGACAGTGGGCGACTCGCCTCGCCGTCTCCACCTTCGTGTGATCCGCCTCCTTCCTGCGATCCTCTTCAATGGTCACTAATTGCGATTCGGCTTCAGCACGTTGCGCCCTCAATTCGCCACACTCTGACTGCAGACTGCGGATTAATTCTTCATCCGCCTGCCGTGCGAGCTGACATTGTTCCAACAACCGCGTCTGTCGCACGAGCTCCTCTGACAAAATCCGATTCTCGGCCTGCTCAGAGTTGAGTGCTCCCTTGACCTTCACCTGCTCCTTGGTGAGCTCGCCCAGTTTCTCATCCTTCATCTTCTCGGAGTGCTTGTAGAATTTCTGATTAAGCTTGTACTGTCCCCACAAGCACTCATGCTTCTCCTTCAAGTCCCTCAACTCCTGGTCCACTCTAGCTAATAGCTTGCTGGTGTGGACTTTAGTGCGAGTCCGCCTGTGCACTAACTCGATGTAAGATCCCGGCTGGAGTGGGTCGGCGTATTTATCGACCTTGCGATCCAAGTACCGCAGCAACGGAATCACCTGCTCAGAGAGCGCCGCCGCCGGCGCTCCAACAATTTCCTCCTCCTCCTCCTCGGTGTCTTCTGCTCTTGACATTTCTTCCGTGGAGCCTCCGTCCTCATCATCCGAGTGGAGAATTTCAGTCGCCATTGATTGCGTCGGCGACTGCCCCGAGTGGGGCTGCACGTCCTCGACGTGTGCTGCCTGCGAAGGCACGGCTGCAGCCTCGCTGCTCGTCGCCAAAATGTCTAAGGCGGAAGGCGAATGTATCCGAGCGGCATCCCCGTCGCTCGCTGGTTGATTGCCCACCGCATTCTCTCTGTCGCCGTCGTCCGTCGCCGAAGGCGATCGAGCGGAGGGTGGCTGCGCGGGGTTGGATTGCGCATCGCGCATCGAGATGTCGTCCCGCGGACAGTCACTCCGCTCCTCCGTCTGCTGCTCCCTTGATCGGTCCGTGGGGGCTGTGCCCGGCCCGTGCGCAGGCGCATGTGCCGGCGCCTTGTCCGCCGCAGGCGTAGCGCCGCGGACATCTATCGCCGAAGGCGACATGGCCGGGGGCCGCACGCCCGATGTTCCTTGGCCTATAGGCCCTACCGCCGAAGGCGCATCTATCGGCGTACTTCCCGCCGATGGTGCGGCCTCCGCACGCTCTCTGCTCGTATCCCCTCGGCTCGAAGGCCCTGGCGCCGAAGGCGCGAATTGCGGCGCGTGGTGCGCCGGAGGGTCTGGCCCCGAGGGCCGGTGTCTCGTAGGCGGTTCTTCCGCCGGCTCCTTCCCCTTCCTACGTTGGAACGGGGGTGATTCTTGCCTGTGCACAGGCGGCACGTGTGGAGGTGTTCTGTGCATAGGTGACCTGTGCACAGGCGAGCGCCTGTGCACAGGCGGACTGCTCCTTCCCACGCGTAAGCGTAGATCCACGTCCACTTGTGTTCGCCGGTCCGCGGAGGCTCGTCCGTCCGCGGAGGTTTGCCTGTGCGCAAACGGAACATCTGTCCGCATCGCACGTGGTAACTCCGGAGGCCCTTGGCCCGTAGGCGGCCTCTCTCCCG